CAGCCTGCCTACCCCTTGTGGTGACCCCAAGGACACAGTGGCACCTGCCTGGGGCCACTGAGTGTGGGCTGGGCTCTGGGTGACCAATGGTTACCGTTGGATGGCGTCCAGATCGGTGGTAATGAGGCAGGGACTGGGTGGGGACCGGTGGGGCACGTGGACTGGATGGTGAGGCTCCAGAGGCCAAGCGATGATCTGTGCCTCTGTTCTAGCAAAACCACAAAGGAGGCCCTGGGGTGTGTGGGGGTGATTGGGGGTCTGCCTCATTGACATCCCACCTGTGTTCCCATCACAGCTCTACTCCTTCCTCACTGAGTTGCCTGGGCACGTCCTGAAACTCTGAGCCTCAGTCTGCCTATCTGGGAAATGGGGGTATTGGCCCTGGTGTCATTCTTTCGGTGTTTGCTAGAGGGTTTGCTGAGATGTTGCCGAAGACTGGGTTAGAGCTGGGCTAGGGGGGCAGCCAGTGCTCCCTATCTGGGCTCTTGACAGCCTGAGAGAGTGAGCTGGGTACAAACAGGTCCCTGGAGCACGGGCTGCCTGCTGAGGGCTCTTCCCGCGGCTGGTGTTGTGCTGAGGTCTCCTGGTCACACTGAGGCTTTGAGTGACGCCCCCCTCCATGAGGATATGGTGATGAGGAAGGGATCCCAGCCTAGGGCACTTGCTGGGCCTCCTGCCATCATGCTGCCCAGGTGACAGGTGACCTGGGCGCTTACCAGCTCTGACTCATCCTCTGCTGGCTTATCTGTTTATTTTCTTCCCTCCCCTGGGAAGGCCTCCACCTGTCCACTTGTCAGCCTGGGTTTTAAGCCTCCATTGTTCCCTCAGGTAGACATCCCCACCCATGTGGGGGGCTGGAAGCCAAGGGGTCCTGGTGGGATCTTAGGCTCTGTTCAGACAACAGTAAACAAACAGCTAGGGCTTCTGATCTGCCCCCTCCTGTTGTGCCTTACCCTCCCTGTTCCCTACCACCTTTCCCCTGGGAGCCCTCATTACCTTCTAGGGAGAGGTGGCCCATTTTAGGGCTTGGAAACTGAGGCTCCAAGAGGGTGAAAGTGACTTGTGCAGGTCAGGCGGCCAGCGGGATCTTCTCTGAAGGATGAGTGGCGTCCCCTCATCTGGTAGACGGCCATGCCAGTGCCCAGAGAAGGTGGGTACCTGCCCAGGACCACACAGCTCATGGGGGGAAGGGCTGGGCTTTGAACCCAGGCTCTCTGGCTCCAGAGTCTGTATTCCTCCTCGCCACTCACCAAACATTTAATGAGCACCTGCTGTATGCCAGGCACTATTCTAGGTGCTGGAGATCCAGTAGTGACCAGGCCAGGTGATGTCATATGCTGTCACAGGACTGGACTTACGTTGAAGGCCATGTTGCGGGAGTGAGAAGGGGTGTGCATTTGGGAGGGAGGGGTGCATGCCATGGCATCTGCCCACGCGTAGGTGGGCAGTGCCTGTGGGGAGGAGTTTCCTGGCAGAGGGAACAGATCTTGCAGAGGCTGGAAGCCAGAACTGCGGAAATCCCAGAGGTGGAGGATGCAGGGGTGGGGTGGGGGTGGGGGGATGGACAGGTAGAGGATCCTGTCAAATGTGGGATGGATCGTGTGAGTTCTTCAGGAGGGAAGCTTGGATCCCTGGCCTTTGCTTTAGAAAGATAACCGTAGGTAACCTGGGAGGAGGATCCTGGGACCAGGCCTGGGTGTGGTGCAGAAATGATCATGGCTAACACTTATTGAACCCCGACTCTGTGCCAGGGAACGAAATAGACCTGAGACCCTGTCCTGGGGAGCTGCGTGGCAGGGAGGGGTGGGTAAGCAGATGAGTGGCTTGGAGTGTTAGTGATGAGGGAAAAAATGAAGGTGGGAGGGATGTGGGGTGGGGGGTGGAGCTGTGAGCGAGGGTGGGAAGTCTCCCTAGGGAGGTGTCATTTGAGCCAGAGCTGTGGCGGAGGGGGGGTGAGTCATGGGGGTGCCTGTTTGGTACCCAGCTGACCTTGGGTGGGCGGTTACTCCATCCTTCTGACCGGGAAACCGAGAGAGACAGGGAAGCTGGCCCGAGTCGCACTGTGTGCAGGGCAGCCTGGGTGTACGGCGGCCCTCGGAGCAGGCGTGGGTGGGGTGGCTCAGGGCAGAGGAAGCAGACGACTGAGGCTTGAGAGTTGACTCCAGATAAGCGGACAGTGTCCTGGGCAGAGCTACTTGGGGTGGTGGTCTCCTTCCCAGGGGAAAGAAGGCCCCGAGAGGGTTCCTGCTGCCTTGTGTCAGAAAACCCTCTGAGTGGACCTGGGGGCACAGCCAGACAGGCCCCTCCTCACCGAGCCTCTTGGAAATTTCTGGGGAGTTGCTTTTGCGGGGGGACTGTCCAGGCTGCAGGTAGGTGTTGCTGCTCTTTCCACTCAGCAGTCTGAGAACTTCTGGAAAACACAATTGGAGGAATACCAGGGCTCCTGGTGCTCCTGGCCTGGGATGCGAGGCCGCGTGCACCTGCCCAGCCTCGTCCTTCAGCCTTCTCCTACTCAGGCCGTACCTGCTTTGCCCAGGCTGCACCCAGTCATCCCTCCCACTCCCCATCAAGTTCCAGCCCCAGAAAGCCACCTTCCCTGCATGTGCCCAGAGCTCTCAGGGTTCTCTTGGGCAGCGTGTTGGTCCTGGTCCTCTTCGTGTTTTGCTGAGGCTCTCATTGTTGTCTGTGGTGTTACCATTGTGCTCATGGTGCCTGGCCCCCCAGCCACGCCCAGAACAGTCACAGGACAGCATGTGCCAATACCAGTGGCCGAAGGCTTGGCCTGGGCTGGGGAGATGCCAGTGGCTTTTGAGTCAGATGTGCGGGCCCAGAGGCCGGGTGACCTGGGGTCAGAGGCCAGACCCCATGAATTTCAGTCCACATTCCCACCACTCCCTGATGCCTAGTGACCTTGTTTGTTTTTTAATTTTTTTAATTTAATTTTTAAAATGTTTTTAAAGATTTTATTTATTTATTTGACAGAGAGAGACACAGCGAGAGAGGGAACACAAGCAGTGGGAGTGGGAGAGGGAGAAGCAGGCTTCCCTCTGAGCAGGGAGCCCAAGGCAGGGCTCGATCCCAGGACCCCGGGATCACGACCCGAGCTGAAGGCAGACGCTTAACGACTGAGCCACTCAGGCACCCCTGTTTTTTTTTTTTTTTTTAAATAAATGCATACACTTAGGAAACCACCAGACAGATCAGGATAGAGAATGTTGTCATTCCAGAAAGTTCCTCATGCCCCTTCTAATCAGTTCTCCAAAGGGAACCAACTGCTCTGATTTCTATCTGCAGAGACTAGTTCTCCCTGTTCAGGTCTGCCCTCAGACTCAGCAGGAGAAACGGGGGCATGTGTCTACCAGACGCATGTGTGCAGATGTTCATAGCAGCTGCATTTGTAATGACCCCGAACTGGAAAGACCCCAGGTGTCCCACCAATGAGAGAACCGATGAGCAAACTGTGGCCCATCCACGCCAGTGAACACGGGTCAGTGGTGAAAAGGAACCTCTGTCAGTCACACACACAGCATGGGGTGGGGGGCACATAGACCGGTGGGAGGGATGCATTCCCATGCTTCTGTATTGTTTGGTCATGGACCCGTTCGGTTGCGTTGAAGAGGCGGAGTGGGAGATTCTGGCGAAGGACGTACACACTGTCACCGCTCCTGTCGCTGATTTTGTGTTGGAGAGCTGGCGCTGATGGTTTCCAGGATGCCATGCCTCTGATGTGTGAGGGGCCTCCTGTCCCTGCTTCTCAGGTCTTTGCCTCTGAGCCAGGGGGCCTGGGGCTCTGGGATGGCCAGGGTCAAGGCTGTATGTGGTGCTTGAGAGGTTAGCAGCCAGCAGCAGGCCTGCCCTGTCCCTGGGAGAGCCTGGCATCTGCCGTGAAGTGGCTTTGCTCTCTGGCAAGGGCCATGGTGAGAACTGACTTTAGGGCCTGGTGAGCTGGGGGCCTCCTTGCTGTCTCCCCACCCTGCCCGTTCTGTACCCCTGCATGTAGCTCACTTCTTGTTTCCCCTTCTCAGAGGGGCCTTCTCTAACCATCCCAGCTGGGATGCCCTGTATCAGTTGTCCTGTGTCCTGCACAAATTGCAGATGATCTAAACATTTATCTAGGTGCAAACCTTGTTTGAAATTCTCTGAACCTAGAACCTTTCTCCATTTTACATGAGACAAGACAAGAATTCTTTGCATGGCTTTAATGATCTCTGAAAATGCCCCTTCTACTTCGGTGCCCTGGATCCCTGGTCTTTGGCTTTCCTTTCTCACTGGTCCAGAGTGCCTTCTGGTCATCCTACTTTGCATGAATCCACATGTGTTAGTGTAAACAGGTGCAAGTGGTGCCTGAGTATTTCCGTAGTGAAATACACAGGATATATTTTTTTTATTTAATGGCTTTATTGAGGGATGTTTATGTATTAGGAAATCTACCCATTTCAAATGCAGTGATATTTTTAGTAAATTTACAGTAAATAGTAGTAAGTTGACCACTATAGTCCAGTTTTAGAATGTGTCCAGCACCCCAGAAATCTCCCTCCTCGTTTCCCACCCCTGGGTAAGCACTGATCCACTTCCTGCTTATATCGATTTGTCTTTTTGGGACATGAAACACATCATATTTTATTTCATCTTTTTATCATACATATGGCATTATATTAATTTATAACATGTATGTAGGAAATGCACTGATCTCTTTGAGGTGTGAGGAGATTGTTCAGATATCTGTCCATGAAAGGGCCCTTTGGGCAGGCTGGGGCTGGAGCACAGCCAGCCAGAGGGAAACGGTACCATTCAACGGCAACCTTCATTCCAGTCCCTCCTCTGCCCCTTGTGGCCTCAGGACCCTCCAAGGTCAGAGCGTTCCCCAGTGCCTGGCTGGGACTGGTGTCTTTGCTGATGTTGCCCCAGTTGCAAGATGGGATTGCTCCACATGTGTGGTCACACTTCCTGCCCCGCAGGCCAGCCGCGTGAGTAACTTCTGTCCTTTTCCCCTCCCACAGGGACTTCCTTCCCCGAGGTTCAGGAATCGTGACCCGGCGGCCTCTCATTCTGCAGCTCATCTTCTCAAAAACAGGTACAGTGGGACAGCTCGCTGCTGTAGCAGGAAATGAGCGTGGACGCAGCGCCTGGCAGGAGTGAGGGGGCCAATGGCGGTGTCCGGGGTCTTGGGCTGTCATTTGGGCTTGAATTCATGGTCTCCACGTGTGTAGCACAGCTGAAGCACAGTTCGGTGAACACCCACCCCTCGTGTCCTTCATTGTGACCAGGCTGCTAAGCGCCATGTTTGTGTGCAATGTTGTGGATAACACAGTTTGCTGAACGGTTTCAAAATCAGTAGCAGACGTTGTGACACGTCAACCCAGAATGTTTCAGGGAGCCTCCCCTTGCACTAAGGACACCTTCCTACATTCACAGCCACACCCAAGAAAAGTAATCGTTCCTGCATGGTATCTGATGCCAGTCCATGAGTATGTTGCCAGTTGTCCCCCCAGATATCTTCCCTAGCTAGTTTTCCAGCTGCTCTGATCAGTCCCCTCCTACACTCACTCGGTTGTCCTGTCTCCTCACCACCATGTCCATTTTGATGACGACATTGGCTTGGGAAGAGGCCCATCCATTGAATATAGAATGGCCCACGTGTAGATTTTTTTCTGTCTTCCCTTCGGTGTCCAATCAGCTGGGCCAAGTCTGGCATGAGGTGGGCATGTCTTCCAGCATAAAACCCACTGAGGCCTCCTTGGAAAGCATCTCGGGTCAGAAGCTGGAAGGGGACATGGCAGCTCTTGGGGGCATGGCCTCTCCTCCCTCCAGAGCCCCGAGTGGCCTCATGCTGCTTTCCCCACTGACCTGGAATATCAGCCTTTGTGGGTTCAGCATCCACAGGGCGCCAGGCTCCCCGCACGGCCCGGTTAGACACACCTGTCCTAGGAAGGCAGCTGACACGCCCCCATTTTACGGGCAAACTGAAGTTTGGCCGGCCACCTGCCTTCGCACTTGGCACCCGATCTGGATGGGCATCAACCTGGGTGGGCATCAGCTGAGTCAGAGCTCAGCCCCCCCTGCGCTGTGCCCCAGTCACGTGCTCTCATCTTCATCTTCTGACTCCGCCCAGCCCACTTGCGAGGGGGCGTGGCTCCAGTGAGAGGTGGTAGCCGATTGGCCCGCACCTCCTCTTTGTGAGCTCTGCCAGGTCATAGGCCACAGGCGAGCCAGTGGGCTGCTTCCTGTGGGTTTAGGTGTCCCAATCAGCTTGGCCAAGACTGGCAGCCGCAGAGCCGGGGGTTTCAGATGACAGTGGGTCAGAGAGTCACGTAAGGAAGGCATGGCCCAGTGGGTTTCCGCTTTCCATTCAGCCGGTTGGTAGGGGGTGGGGGCTGAGGATATGCATTTTTAATGAGTTCCCAGCTGATGCTGATGTGCATGCTTCTGGCCCCTGGCCACGCGGGGAAAGCTTCTGCCCTGGTGGGTCAGCCCTGAGCGCTAAGGCTGCCTGGGTTCAGATCGTGACTCTGCAGCTTACTGGCCTCATGGCCCCTGGGGAGGGACTGCCGCTCACGATGTGTTTCCTGTCTGGACAGTGAAGATAATAATAGCGCTGACTTTGGCGGTTGCCATGAAGACCACATTATTCAGTACGTCCGAGCCGCAGCACAGTGCCTGGCACACTGCAGGTCCTCCCCGTGTGGTGCTGACTCAGGGGCTGTGGTTGTGTGCTTTCTGCCGGCCTGCTCGGGATGGCCTGCTGGGAGAACAGGTCTGCTGGCATTCTGCACTGGAAGGTGGCAGGCTGTGTCATGGCGGGAGGGCTATCCCATCATCTCCATGGTGGCCGTCACCAGCTGTGGTCCACTGAGCACGTAGTGCATGCTACAGGCTGGTCCAGGCCCAGGGCACAGCAGTGACGGGACCAAGGCTGCTGCCACCACCTGCCCACCTGGCATTCCCGTTGGTGCCAGGGGACAGAAGGGGGAGGCCGGGGGGGAGACTGGCAGGCCTGGCCCCCACCAGATTGGAGTGTGTGTGGAGAGGGGAGAGTGACTAACTTCATCCTAGAGGGTGGGGCATCCTGGGGCTTCTTTGAAGAAGCGATGTTGGAGCCAAGGCTGACAGGTGTGTTGGGGTGTCAGGGAAGGGGGAGCTCCCTTCCAGCAGAGAGTGGCAGACTGAAGAGCACTGAAGGCAGAAGCTCTGAGGGTGCATATTAGCCTAGTGCCTAACCTGGACTAATGCTGGGGTCTCCGTTCCCATCATCCCCACTATACAGAGGAGGGAACTGGGGCTTCCAGAGATGAAGCCACTTGCCCAAGAGCACACAGGAGCATCATCATGAGAGCCCAGCTCTAAACCCACTTGGTGGGGTGCACCCTTAGGCCCAGGTGTCACTTGACCAGATGCTGTGGCTGCTGGTGAAAGAGAGACCACAGGAGCCCGCCCGTGGCAGGGGACCGGAAGAGGTGGGAGTGGTGCCTGGGGGCAGGTGGGGACAGGGTAGTAGCCGTGGAGATAGAATTGTGGTTGGATCCTGTTGGGCTGGCAGTGGAGATGGGAAGCGAGGCCCAGGTGTCCCATATGGTAGTGGCCCTTGCCGTGTCCCAGCACACATACTCCTCCTCATCCACCTGACTGTGGCATTTCCCGTCTCTTCTTGCTGCCAGCAGATGCGTGCCCTGCTGGACCTCAGCCGGATGCCAGGGAGGCAGCGTGTGTGGCAGACAGGAGATGCCGTGGTCAGGCTGAGAGGGGCAAGGATTGGGGGTGTGGGACAGTATATTGGCTGTTGGATTTACTTTGGGCCGGGGGCCCAGGGAGAACACTTTGGGCAGGGGCAACAGCATGTGCGAAGCTGTGAAGTGAGGCTGGGGGGGAGGGTCAGGAGGCAGGTGACATGGCCTGGCAGTCTGGTGGGGGATTAGGCATGAGAGCCCAAAGAGCACACGGGTGAGGAGAGACCTGCTCAGCCCACTGGCTGCCCTGTGGAAGGATAGGCAGGGAGGCCAGGGAGAGGTTAGCCTCGAACCAGGCAAGAGGTGGTGAGGTCTGGCCCAGGGCAGTGCTGTGGGGGTGAAGGGCAGTCTAGAGTGACCTAGAGGTGGGGGGGTCTAGGGCGATGAACAGCAGAGGTGCCCTAACTGGGTGGGAGGCGGGACATCCCACTAATAAGAGGGAGGAGGCTAAGTTTAGTGGGGGACATGTGATTGGTGGAGGGGCTATGTGGGGCTGCATTGTTTCTAGAGAGTAGACTTTTGTCCAGCTGACTCTGGAGCCAGGCAGCTACCCCTAGTGTCTGGGGCCTGGGACAAGTGGCCTCCCTCTCTGTGTCTCAACTTCCTCATCTGTAATATGGGGGTGATAGTGGTACCTCCCTTGTGGCCCTGGCACGCCATGTGGCTTTGGTGTGGCTGCCGCCTCCTGTGGGGTCTGGAGTCCCATGATGTGGCTCTGTGGCTGGGCCTCAGTCCTCCTCTCTGATGTCTGTGACACCCAGTGATGCCTGGCTTTTCTGGTCCAGACTGGTCTTGGTGAGCCATTACTTTTAATCTGCTTAGTTTAAAAATTACCTAAGACCACATGGGGCGCCTGGCCGGCTTAGTAGAGCATGCGATGCGAGCCCCACATTGGGTGTAGAGATTACTTAAAAATAAAATCTTAAAAAAAAAATAGTTACCTAAAACTACAGCCACCAGGAAGTTTGACGGCTACTCCTCCCTGGGAACCATCCCTTGGCCTGGTAAACCCTGCGTGCTGGGGACTGTTCTTGTGTGGAATGTGGCCTGCTGAGCCTCCCTTCCCTTGACCTTGGCTGGTGTTCTCAGGGGCCAGCGAGGGGATGGCAGGGCTTGGCTCCCAGCTTCCTTCTCAAAGCCTTATGACCCCAACAGGTCCTTGCTGGCCTCTGGGACCTCACCTCCTCCTGGTCCCTAGCTGCAGCATCTTCCCTCATCGCTCATCCTCAAGGTCAGCTCTCAGCTCATTCATTCATGCCTCCAGGCCTTGGCCCTCACTGTGCTCCCTCCCTGGAACACCCTGCCCACCTTCCTTGTCCTTGTCCTCCTCCTTTCCTGAGTGTGAGCCCCAACGCCCTCCTGCCCCCCCATCACAGCTGCCTTAGTTCCTCCACAGCACGTATCACGTAATCTCATCCCGTTTTTATATTTTCTTAATGGTTTCTCCCCTGCCCCGAAAGTCAGTGCCAGAGGGCAGGGACACTGATGTGCCTTGTCCGCCGCTCTCTGGTGCCCAGCACAGGGCCGGACCCCGGCGGGTGCTCCGTCAGCATTAGCCAGGTACCTGAGCGTGCTCTGTGGGCCGCTGCGCTGCCTCTTCTCTCCTGGTGGAAGGCGGGTGGGGTCATCAGCTGCTTTCTCCGGCACCTTTCCCCATGAGCCTGGCCCTGGCAGGGCCTTCTCTATAAAGCTGGAAGACACTGTAGCGCTCGGGGCATGGGCCTTGTGTCTTGGTGAGGAAACAGAGCCAGGAGCTGGTGCGAGTCAGGCGGGGTGGGGGGGGGCTGGCCGGGATGCCAGCTGGGGCTGTCACTTTCTCCGTGTATGTGGGGTTTTTCCCACACTACCAAGCAGTTCTCCAGTTCTCAGTGGACATTGACTGAGTGGCCTACAGTCACCTCCGTTCCCACACTGCCCGCCCGCCTGGACATAGCGTCAGACCCCCCAGGATAAGGGCTCCGTCCCACCAGACTGTCGCCCTCCACCCCCACCACCAGTCACGAGTCCAGGATGTCCCCTGTGCTTCTCACCCCTGGCTATAGATCTCAGGTTCCCAGGGCCCTCCCCTCAGGTTCACTGAATTTACTGGAGCGGCTCATGGAGCTCCGGGAAACTGTTTACTTCCTAGATCAGTGGTTAATATAAAAAGGATAGAACTCAGGAGCAGCCAGAGGGAAAAGAGGCGTAGGGCAGGGTGTGGGGAAGGGGCGCCCCTCTCCTAGCACCTCCTTGTGCTCACCAGCCAGGAAGCTCTCTGAGCCCCATCCTTTTGGGATTTTGATGGGGCCTCATCACATAGGCATGATTGATTAAATTAGCCACTGGGGATGGATTCAACCTATGGCCCTCT